CAGGAGAGGTCTGCCATGCCATATGGGTCTTCTCCCCGGTGCTGAAGCTTTGGAGTTTGCTTTATAGTGCTGTGCTTTAACGCGTAGGGCCCTCTTCTCACCTTTTGAAAAGACCATTTTTTTAGGAAAAGGAGGAAGAAAAAGACGCATCTGCATAGTCAGAGATGGGCAGAGTTACCAGTCTGCCTTTTTATTTCTCACAGCAGTTCATCTCTCCTTGGTTCTGTAAGCAGACTACCAAATAATAAATAAAGTGGCTGACTGACTTGCTGAGTATTTAGTATTAGTAAGGATCTTTTCGTTTTCTTGGGAGCTTATTTGAGTTTCAAACTACCCAGCCTGTGTGGTGGGAATGTGGGATGAACTCAAACATAGCCAGCCCATAGGAACCTTTGTTTCCTGAATTACTGAGTCATTGGTGGTGACTAGAAGCTTGGATTTTCAATGGGCGATGTACAGTTTGTTTGGCAGAGGCCTATAAAAACTGGATTTCTTCCTGAAGGAGTGATTGGTCTGAAGAATCATGTTGGCTAAGTCATATTAAACTGTTTGATAGGCAGCAGTTTGGGACTCACTCATGCTGTGTTTTAACTACCCCTAGTTTTCTTAAATTTTAATCATGCTAGGTGGAAAAGGTGAGATATTTTGCAAATGGTTAGCTAAACACAAAAAGTTGTATTTTACTCCCTTTAGGGTAAAGTAATAAAGAGATCTCTGGCCTTTAAGAGTCATTGATAGGGCTTATATAAAGGGATCAACATCATTTAGTCACTTCTTTTCTTGAATGCTGAATAGTTTACAAATTACTGTGGAGTGCACCAGGAATGGAATTGGAATAGTGTAGTTAAAAAATGCAGCAGTTGACTTGGAGAGTCTAGTGGAAAATAGTGGTAGTTTTTGCTTGAGAAATACAGTGAACTTAAGCCTAGTTGTGTTTTTTCATGTCTACATAATAATCCATACAATAGAGTTTTTATTTATCTTTTAAAATAAGTTTTATATATGCATAAAAGAGTGAGGTGTAGGCCAGAGGTGTGGGGGGTGAGAGGATTCACCAGAGACAAAGTGAGGAGCAGAACAGGTGGATCTACTGAAACACACTGCTGAGGGGAGCAGTGGATGTGACAGGAGGGGTCTGCCGTGCCATGTGGGTCACCTTCTTAGCTGGCGATTGAACTGGAACTGCAGTGGCTGCCAATAGCTTCATAGTGCTGAGATTTAAGCCCTTGCACCACAGGAATGCCCACAGAGTTTTTATTTTTGATTAAGACAAAAAGTGAGGTAATCATTTATTTTTCAGAATTTCACTGGAATATTTATTATTTGAAGAAAATATCATGGAAGTTATGCGTCCACAGCTTATAAAAATTGATGGACGAGTTTACAGGAAGAATCCTATCCAAGAACAGACTTACCAACATGAAGAAGAGGAGGAGGACTTCTATCAAGGTGATCTTAGTTGTCTGATCAGATTAGAAGAAAAATGTCCTTTATATAATAGAACAATTCTTGTTGTTTTGTTTCAATGTGTTAATGTTTGAGCAGTGAAATTTGAGATGTTCGGCTTTTTTAAAGCTACATTTGTGTTGATACCTAAGGTATTGATGAATTTGAATTGGATTAGGTGTTTATTCTCAGTAGCAGTGATTAATAAGTGAACTTATGCTTCACCTTTGCACAAATGTTTAAATGTAATGGGGGGGAGATAATTAGTTAACTGATTGTTAACCATTACTATTCAGTGGCAAAATTAAGTTACTTTATAAAGCTGCAAAATAATACATGTATATAAAATTTTGAAATAAATGAAAATATGAAAATATTTTATTTAGCCAATGCCCAATGTTAGTTGCTATTGTTGTGTTGCTGTTTTTCTCTCCTTTGCAGTCATACAGAGAGCTCCAAATGCATAACTAATGTTATGGAATGCACAGGAACTTTGTTCCTATGTAGGGGTGATTTTTAAGAAATAAGTTAAGACTTGACATGAATTATAAATTTTTTCAGGCTAATTAACTTGGACTTGGGTTTACTGCCTAAGTAGAACCTTTCAGTTTCTTGACTTCCTTTTTCTTTCTACTGGGCCCTAAACCTTGAAGGCTAGTCTTTCCCTAAATTCTCCTTGTTTCCTTTCTGTCTTGCAGTTTTTGAGTTCTTCCTTTTCACCCTCCTCTTTTCTCTATGTTTCAGCTATATAGAGTCACTTTTTCCAGTATTGTCCTACTTTATTCACTGAAATTAATTTGGGCCATAAAACCACAGAGTAATCCATTTTCAAGAGAATGAATTTTATGTTATTTAAATTATATCACCCAAAAAAGCTTCAAGCATTTTATGCTTTAACTTCTGGGAGAAAACAGTTAAATAATGGTATGTTAAGGATAGTTTCCCAAGATTTCAAGACTGGGAGATTTAAAATAGTCATGTGGTTTGTATTCCTTATTTTTCTTCTAAGAGCTATTAAAAAAGTATCAGAACAGTGTTCTGCAAAGTAAAGTGTCCCACTTCTCTTTGTATGTTGATTGCTTTTTTCCCAACCCCAGGAGTAGCTGACAGTGGGGAAGCAGAAATTCTGAGAAAGATTTTATGGTTTCTGTGCAGGCTTCATGGAATGTGCAGAAGAGCCCTGTGATGCATATGAGGTGGTGCAGACCCAGCAAGGTTTCCGGTGTACGGTGAAGGCTCCCAGCCTACTCTACAAGTGAGTGAGACCCTAATAACTTCTTGGAAAGCAAGTCCAGGAAACAGCAGGGAGCTGACTCCTTTATTCCATACTTACTGCAGTGCCTGATTACTAATGATAACATAGTTTAGTGTTTTATGTTCTATAATCATTAGGGACTAATTATGGATCTGTTTCATTATTCTATGGGTATCATCCTGTCCTCTTGATTTTGCCTCTTTTATATCTTTTGAAACCTCCACTTACTCTTTACTGCCACTCCCTGCCTCTTCTGTGGATTACTTTAAATAGTCTACTTACTGATCCTCCACAATGATTCTTGCTCTTCTCCCAATCACTGCTCACACCCAGGAAAGGGCAGATGTGTTTATTTTACTACCTCTGTTTTAAGTTTTATCAAAATCTTTTTAAAAAAGAAGATTTACTTATTTATGCATACAAGAACTGGGGCCAGAGGTACGGGGTGGTAAAAGGATTTTTCAGAGACAGAGTGGGGAACAGAACAGGTGGATTGAATGAAATTCATTACTGAGGGGAGCAGCAGGCAAGACAGGAGAGGTCTACCACACCATGCAGGTCACCTCCCTGTCCAGGGATTAAACTTATGCTGCAGTGACTGTGGCTAGCTTCATAATGCTGCGCTTTAACCCCTTGCTCCACCAGGGAGGGTCCTCTATCAACATCCTAACATTGAAGATAGAATTCTGTTCCATGAGTGTTATGGCCAAAATCTTGAATATGACTCAACTAGCCTTGCATTTTTCAGTCTTTTCACTCTCTCCCAACTGGCTTTCTTGAGTTCCTCAAATAAAATAACCTCTTCTCTTTCCTGTGTGAGAATGTTGACACCTGCTGTCCCCTTTACCTTAATATCTTTCCTCTTCTTACTTAGTTATAATCTCCTTCCTTCTGGAAACTTTAACTCCATTACCCTTATTAACCACATAAGTTATTCTTCTATATGTTTTCATAACACCCTCTATATTTTTCTTTGCAGCATATTTCAGTTTTGTGTTTGTTTGCTATTTGATATCTTCTCTAGATGAGAAAATTCTTGAGGCAGGTTCATCTTGGTTTTATAATCCCCAATTTTTTTTTTTAAAGATTTATTTATTTATTTGTGCATATAGAACTGGGGTACAGGCCAGAGGCTCAGGGGCGGTGAGAGGCTTCACCAGAGACAGAGTGGGGAACAGAACAGGCAGATCGACGAAGTACACTGCTGAGGGGAGCAGCAGGTGGGTCAGAAAAGGTCTGCCACACCATATGGTCACCTCCGGGGCAGGCGGGAATAGAACTCATGCAGAAGCGGCTTTAGATTCTCAGTGCTGTGCTTTAACCCACTGCGCCACCAGGGAGGGCCTATAATCCCCAATTTTATTTATTTATTTTTTTTAAAGATTTATTTATTTATTCGTACAGAACTGGGGTACAGGCCAGAGATGCGGAGGGTGAGAGGATTCACCAGAGACAGAGTGGGGAGCAGAACAGGCAGATCGACAAAATACACTGCTGAGGGGAGCAGTGGGCGGTCAGGAGAGGTCTGCCTCGCCATGTGGTCGCCTCCGGGGCAGGCGGGAATCGAACTCATGCAGAAGTGGCTTTAGTTTCTCAGTGCAGTGCTTTAACCCGCTGCGCCACCAGGGAGGGCCTTTTTATTTTTTTTTTATTAAAAAGTTTTATAATCCCCAATTTTTAATTAAAAAAATTATTTATGCATACAAAAACTAGGGTATAGGCCAGAGGCATGGGGGGGAGGTGAGCGGATTCACCAGAGACAGTGGGGAGCAGAACAGGCAGATCTATTGAAATACACTGCTGAGGGGAATAGCAGGTGAGGCAAGAGGAGTCTGTTGGGCCATGTGGGTCACCTCCCTGGCCTGGGGTCAAACTGGCTGCAGATAACTTCATAGAGCTGAGACTTAACCTTTTTTACCACTAGAAAGGACCCTATAACTCCCAATTCTTTTTTGTTTTTTTAAGATTGATTTATTTATTTATACATACAGAGCTGGGGTACAGGCCAGAGGTGCAGGGGTGGTAAGAGGATTTACCAGAGACAGAGTGGGGTGCAGAACAGGTTGACTGAGAAGTAATACTGCTGAGGGGAGCAGCAGGCGGGTCAAGAGAGGTCTGCTGCGCCATGTGGATCACCTCCAGGGCAGGGATTGAACAATTGCTAAAGTGGCTTTAGCTTCTTAGTGCTGTGCTTTAAGCCGCTGTGCCGCCAGGTAATCCCCAGTTCTTACCAGAGAAAGGTGGTTTTTCCGGGCTCATAAATTGTTTGGAAACTTTATGATCACTTCAGTATATATGATCACCCATATTCTGTCCTAAACTAACCACTAATAAGGTTAGTTGATGTGACTAACTGGCTTTTTTCCAGGCTTGCACTTGTGAAGATAGGCTGGTCTGAGAAGTTCATAAGTTGTTTTTCTATGCTGTATCAGATAAACTAGGCACATGCATGCACCATAATAACAAGAAAATTAAAAACATGGATTCAGATACCTTTATGAATATGAGCTTCATATACCTTTAAGCTCCAAGAGGCAAATAGTTTCATTTATCTCAACCTGTGAAGATTCTGAAACAGTTATTTACTGATGAAATTCTCCTGGATAGGGCCTTCCTGGTGATGCAGCAGTTAAAGTGTCTCAGCACTATCAAGCTACTACCACAACCACTGATCCCCAGCCAGGGAGGTGACCCACATGGGCCAGAGGACCTCTCCTGTCTTGTCCGCTGCTCCCCACAGCAGTGTTTTTTCAGTAGGTCTGCCTGTTCTGCTCCCAACTCTGTCTCTGGTGAATCCTCTTACTTCCTGAACCTCTGACCTGCACTCCAGTTCTTGAATGCATAAATAAAGTAAAATAAGTAAAATAAGTAAAATAAATCTTTTTTTTTTTTTTTAAAGAAAGTTTTTCCTGGAATGTGACCAAATGGGAAACCACTAACCAACTATAACAGATTACTTTCCTTTCAGGTGCCACTGACTTTTTTTTTTTTTTTTTT